CACTCCAGGGCAGCAAGAAAGCATTTACTGCAGATTAGAGCTCCTCTCAAGTGTTTCACAAAGTCAGCTTTAAGCTCGGCAATTGTTCCCAGGGCTACCCAGCAAACTGCAGCTGTGAAAAATGTAATCGGAAACACACCCTAAATATTTTCCCCGCATCCATTGTGTTTTGTTAGGGGTCATGAATGCGAATTTAGTCCCGCTCCTGACATTTTTGCTCATTTCTCTCCTGTCACAGTAGTATTTTCTGGATGGATGAAATTGCTGTATATGTCATTGTTGTAGGTATAACTGTATAAGCCGAAAAGAACACTCCATTTCTTTCTAAATGAGGCGATCTATAAGAAAAAACCATCTGCAACAGCAGCGGGCCACAGGAGTCATTCTGTGTCTTTCTCTTAAACAATCCATCAAATTGAAAGAAAGGAAGTTAAATGTCTCAGTAACAGCCAGCTATGTCTCACCTCCTGTGTATTATGTGCATTCTATCTAGCTATATTATATGAGGAATTTTGTATATATATATGTATATATGTACAGACATGTATATATGTATATGCCTTTGTTTTACTTATGAAGCCTGTAACATTTTCCCTCTGTGATTATTAAAGTATTTCTGATTCTGATTCTCTAGTTGACTCACTTCTCATCTGTTTTCAGGGAACTACCCACGTCCCTCTAACTACAGTGGGCCGGCCAGTACAAACTACAGTGGCCCGGGCCCCGGCATGACCAACAGCCTGGGGATGAATGCCTCCAGCCCCATGCACGGTCAGGGCCCTGGACAGCCCACACCCGGAGGCCGCGGCCACGGCTCCAGCAGCCAGAGCAGAGCGTACACGTCCATGGGTCCCGGTTCGCCCAGCATGCCCCAGACAGCCGGGCCAGGGATGGGTCCTCCATCTTTGGGTAATTCAAACCGCAAGCCCCAGGAAGCAGCTGCAGCCGGCATGGCGGGGTCTGCCAACTCAGTTCACAGCAGGTAAGAGCACAGCAAACTCTAAACTCTTTAGTGAATTTCTTTTTTTTTTTTGTTGCTAGAATTGGGGCTCAGTAATGATCTCTGTGTACGGGCTCCATCACGGTCTGCTGAGTGACGGCTTAAATTAGCAGAATTTCGCTGTCAGGGCCTCCTCTCATTTGCGATACTGTTTGTGCTACTTTTTCTTTCACACGTCTGAGAAGGTGCCGGACATTTTGATAACCGGCTTTGCGCAGTAAGTGTCATTTGTTGCACTAAGGCAGAAATCGTCCCGTGAAACGCAGTAGTGTCAAAACATTTTTAAAAAACAAACCTCAGTTTTGACTGCGACAACACCAGGGACGACTGTGACGCCATGCTCATCCTCACAGAGATACACAGCGTTGTGACACTGTTTAAGTTGGGGGTTATTATTTTCCGATCGGGGTCGGAGCTTGGACTGTTTTGGTGTTCAGTGTTTGTCAGAGCATCCTGGGAGCAGCCTAACCAGCATTCTGCAGGCTAAATAGGCAGTTTAGCACTTTCCACTGCCTTCCCATTTCCGTCATAACGTGACTAAGACTGACGACTAAGAGCCGGTCGTGATAATGAATGTCTGCTTTTGTCGGCGGCCCTCAGGCCGCGTCCTTACGCCAGGTTACCAGCCTCCATGCAGCCCACCTCCACCCTCTGGTCCCACCCCTCCTCCACCTGTCCACCTCCTTCACCTCCACTCAGACCTCACCTCCCTCCCATCCTGCCACCCCCACATTCACAGCACCATAGGTAGGTCCGCCACTCTCGCGTTTGCGAATTCTGACGTGTTCTGTGACTGAACTCGGCTCCGTTGTTTCGATATACGCAGACGAACAGCGGGCGTGATGAGAAAAAACAAACCCTCGTAAAAACAGGGGGAGTCATCAGCGTTTCACTCATCGGTAACATGGGAGGCTCCTGTTAGTCACCGCGATGGTGTTGTTGCCGTTGGCTCCGGGACACAACGGTGTGTGTCGGTGAAACTTGAAGGGTGCCTGACTGTACGTGTGATTAATTACGTGCGTCAGGGGGGGTTTGGTGCCGTGCGCACACGAAACGGCACGTGCAAATGTTGGACCGGTCATTAAGAGACGGCTGTGCTTTCGATAAGAAGTGGCATAACATGATCCCCCTCTGCTGGGACCAATCAGAGGGCCTGTCAGTCTCTCCTCACAGTCACCGGGGAGGTGTCGAGCAGAGGTCTTCTTCCATTCTCAGCTCCGTTTTGCGCATCTAAATTAAAAGTAATTCACTTTGATTCACTGTCATCTATTCCTCTGTTTGGTGTTTTATCCCCTTCTTCGGCATCAAGCAGGAAGCATCGTGTATCTTTTACTTTACTTCAGATCAAATTGGAAGTTTTTCCCTTTGATTTCTCTTTGAAATGAGTTTTTCTTTCCTTTTTTAAATGGATGTAGGCAAACAACTAGTTATAACTGTATTTATTTAAACTAATGCGCCAAAGAAAAAAAAAGGGCACGATGTGATATTTTTAAAGAAGACTTATTTAAAAGGGCTTCTATAAAAGAAAAATGAGCTCACTAGATGAAAAAAATGGGTGCCAAAGCAAATCGGTGTTTACAAATCTGAATAAGTTGTCTTATTCTTTATTTAATTCGCTAAAGTTGGAATAGGGCTTCTGGTAGGCAGACTAATTTGATGGACACTTTTTTCTGCCTGTCTCACCATCTCTGCCTTGTCCGCCGTCGCTCATTCTCCCCCTTTCATCCCTGCCCGTCTGCTTCTCCTTCTCTCCTCCCACCTGTTTCACTCCTTTTACCAACTCTCCCGACTGCATGGCGCTCTTCATCTCCATGCAGCTCTGTTATCCTACCCAGACCGTTTTATCTCTCTCTGTGTTTCTTCCTTCCAATTTGCTTTTTGTTCTCCGCTGTCTCCGACACGGCCTTGTTATGTTTTTCTTCCTCAGATCCTACTTTAGAACATCTGAGGGAGATCAGGAGAAAATTGGCCTCAGAAAAACCTGCAGTTAAAGGCTCCAGAGCCCCATTTGCGCGCCAGTGCAACATGGTGAAACATTCAGACTTAGTTCTTCCCTGTCTGAGCAACAACTTGTTAGTCTCGGCGCATGTGTCTAGTTTCGCCCTTTGATGAATCCTCCCTGTCTGCCACATCCTCCCGCTGCCAACCTTCCAAATCAGGGTTAGTTAGTTGATAGCGGAATCATGGGCTGGTCTCTGCCTCTTTTCCCCTCTTTTTCTCTCGCACGTCCCTTTCTGTTCATCCCCAGCAATAACCCTCTAGATTTTCTGCCTCTCATCCCACATCTCCATCCTCTCATGACTCACACACACACACACACACACACACCCTCACGCTAGTGTAGACACACTCCGACTTCATTACACCGACTGAAAGGAATTCCAAATGAACAGAGGAGGTCCCACTTCTGGCATCCCATGACTCCAGGCGTGGGTCCAGATTAAATCTTCATTAGGTTTGGTGTGTGGAGGGTTGTTTTTTTTTTAATCTCCGTGCCTCCTGGTTTTTCTCCCCAACAAGAGGACGAGAAGAGGATACAAATAATCCCCTTTTATTGGTCAATCAGTTTGATGCGATTGAGGGGGGGCGCACGCTGAGCCCTAAAGTTGGAGGGAAATACAAAGGAGGTCCTCACGCTTATTTTTATAACCAAAAAAACATCTCTCTCATTATCACTTCAGTGACTTTGTATTGAAATAGTGTTTTTATGCATCAAATTTATCAAGTTGGCTGTCTAGCTGTTTTTCTATCGTCCTAAAAAGTTTTATTTTTGGGAGATAATCAGCTCATATGTAGTTAAGTGTAGAAATTTGTTACAAGTTTATCTGGAGGAAAGGTGAATCACAAGTTCTTTGGAGGCTGGAGATTGATGTTGTGGGATTATTTTTTTCCTAATCTTATTTGGAAAAGAGAAGAGAACACTAAGTATTAAAAGGTATAAGCTTTTCTTGGCAGTGGCTTCTGAAGACAGAATTGGCTTTTCAAATGACTTTCCTGCGCTGCCGGCAACACTCTACAGAAAGTTCCTGGAGCTATAGGAACGGGCGAGCTGTCGTAAAAATAAGCACTTAGACGAAGAAGAGCAAAGCTCAGAAAAAAAAAAAGCCATAAATAAAGAGGAAACTGAAGGGAGAAAAATGTTGGATGAGGGAAGAGGAGAAGAGAGGAGAGTGCTCCCAGGCAAATCCTCGCCAAATAATTCATTTCTGACCTCCTTAGTAAGTAAATTTGCTAAATAAATAAGAGCAGCGCTTGAATGTCAAGAATGGGAGATGCTGCCTGTGGCGCTTTGTCGCTCGCAGTCTTGGCAGCGCTGCGGAGCGCTCTGCTTTCATTAGATGGGCAAAATAAATGGCTTCTTCTCCATCCATCCATCCTGAGCTGTTTGATGTTTGGAAAGAGGGGAGGGGGAAGTAGCTTTTCTCTGGATTTAATATGTTAAAAGCTGTCCTTTTATTTTTTGTGTTGGGTTTATTCTGGTCTATCCTCAGTGCTGTGTTTGTCTGTCTGTCTGTGTGTGTGTGTGAGTGTGTGTGAGTGAGTGCCTGAGCGTGGCGAGTTGAGTCAGGACTTTGGAGGAGCAGCGAGCCCAAGCTGCCCCGAGAACAGATTGGGTCCATATATAATTCATAGCCTCCAGCCAATCCACTCCATCCTTCCATCCAACAGCCTTCCATCTCCGGCCCCTTTTTTTTCTTCCGCGCACACTTAAACACGCACCAATCGGAGGGATCGATAGGGAGCGCCTCTCAGCCTCGGCTGTCCGCTCCGGTTAGCAGCGCGGGGAGGCTTCGGCACGGGCCTGTCACCACGAATGAAGGACAAAGCCGCCGCCGCTTTCTAGAGAAAAAAACCGTCAGCTGGTTGGCTGGCACCTCGTAACCATGGCATCCCCTTGGCAACAGCGCCAACCCCCCCCCCCTCGCGCGAGCACAAGGACACGCTCAGACACTCTCGGACACACGCGTCTGAGCGTGGCCTCCTCCCATGCCCTTCACACATGTGGTCAGAGGAGCTAAAGGAGGCCCGCGTGTCCGTGTTTGTGTGGAGTTAGAGGAAAAACAAAAAAGAAGTTCCGCGGGATTAATCAAGAAAGTGGAGGATTGTCCTTTTCCGTGAGCAAGGGCAAAAGAAAATGTATCTTTAATTCAGCTTGGAAGACCAAAGAAAAACAATATGTGATAAATCTGAATTTTCTTGAGTGTTCCCCTCTCACACTGACTTGGATCTGGCTTCTCCGGTGTAGTTTTTCTCTCTTCTTCCTCCTCAGGCCACTCTTAGACAACAAAGTGACAGTGAACCGGCCTGTCAGTGTTCCATATTTCCTTGTGTGTGTGTGTGTGTTGGGGTGTGTGTTTTTCCTCCAGCTCAGCCTCACGGAACAGCAATTACCTCCATCTCTGGGCCGGTGAGCTGAAAATACGCCCCCCATCGGTCCACCGGGGACTCATCCATGCACCACTCAAGCTCGCTCTCGCCTTAATTTCCCCCAACCTCCCCTCTTCTTTTCTCCTTCACCATCCATTACCATCCTCTTTCCCCCTCTCCGTCTCCCCTCACTCTTTCTCGCTCTCTCTCTCTCTCTCTCTGCGGCAACAGGATAGTCTACTTTTTTCTTTCCCCCCCTGGCACAAAGGTGCCCAAGAGCAAGATGAATTGTGCTGTGCCATCCCCCATCTCACCCCCCCCCCCCACCCCCCCCCCCCCCTGAAGGCGGCACTTGCTTATATTAATGTGATTAAACGCTGTGCGGTGCCTCCATCAAGTGCTTTCTAATGGGCTTTTTTATGACATGAATTAGTCATAATGGGAGCGCGCCACAGTCGAAAACCACCAACCACTGTTGTTGTTGATTTGTATTTTTCGGCATTCACATGAGAAGAGCTTGTACTTCTTTTGCTCAAGGGGTCATCTTTATGGTATGGATGAGTGAAGGTATTTGCGAACGTTCCGGACGTTTCCTCATGAGTTTCTTTGCAGAGTAGATTTTCGTTTTCTCCCTTGACGATTCCAATGCAATCGAAAGGTGAAATTTATTTTCCATGTCTTGACTCACGCACGGCTTTTTAGGGAACACGTGGGCAGCAAATGAAGGAATCTGTGTACCCCCCCATAATAGGGAAATTGGGCCAGATAAGCGTGGATTTGGTGTGCTTGTTTCATTGCCATGGAGCTCCCCTGTGCACCCCGGCCCCCATAGAGGGATTACATATGTATAGTCAGCCGTGCTCTATGACTAATTACATCTGTGAGATGAGATTATGGGGAGGTTTACCCAGCCAATCCCTCCTCTCAGGCAATGTGTATCAGTTCCAACAGGAGGTATTACGTTATGTGTCTGTGTGAGTGTTTGGAAGAGAGAAATATGCCAGTTAGGAGAGAATTGACTGACATGCAAATCCATATAGAACTTTTCCTTGATTCCACATAAACAGCATCAGACCGTCCTCCTCGTGTCCAGCCTGGTTCGCATTGCTAAATTCTCCATCGTTGACCTCCTCAGAGCTCTGTTTCTTCGGCCCCGATTGTATTGAGTTCCCAGATTTTGTTATTGTCGGCCTTTTTTCCTTTTTTTTTTTTTGGGGTTGTCCGGGAGATAATCTTGATAATCAGCAGAAGATGGAGCAAATTGTCCCAAAACACGGTGTCCCCCTTCGGCTCTTATGTCACCAGCTTGGCCTGTCTTGCGTACGGTGCCGTCATGTGTTCAGACGCGCACATGGCTGGAAAGCACTCAGCAGGTTGGAGATAAGCCCCCCCCCCCCCGATGTCACTTGTGATGTGACCAACACCATGTGATGAGCCGCCTGAGGAAAGGGAGGGGAGGCTGAGCGAGGGGATTTGAGCAGCATTGATTTCTGCTGTCACCATGGCAACAAATAACGTGATCCTCTCCAAGAGCACACCTTAATTAGTTAAATTATGACTTTGGGGATAAGGGCGGGGGGGTGGATGTAGGGAGGAAAAGTAGAGATGTTTTCTTTTCTTCAACCACTCAAGAGCTGTTTGTTTGATCAGGAAATATACTTGATGTGCAGCTATTCCTACGCGGTAATTGTGTTTGCGTGTTTGTTTCCCTCCCCTGTGTGTTGTAGGCAGGGAAACTACCAGGCCCCCAGCATCAGCCAAGCCGTCCCCTGCAATCAGCCAACGGGCATCAACAGCTCAGCCACAAGCAACGCTCAAGGACCCGGATACAACATGCCACCCTCAGGTACACAGCTGAAGTCAACAAGTGTCAGTCATTTCCTGATTTCGGTTGGATTTCAGTCAACAAACAGGGAGAGGAGAGGGTCATTCATAATAGAAATGGTGCTACCTAAAAATTGAAACATTGGACAATTAATCCAATGTTTCACTCAGTCAAGTCGCTTTATACTATGTTTTTAAAGCATGCCTTTAAGTAATATTACATTTATTCAAGCTATCTTATGACCTTATTCAATTGAATTAGGTCAATATACAGTATAAATGTTACTTAAGTAAAGAGGAGCCGGACCAGCTTGGTAGATACTTTTCTTTTTCACCAAAGATAAATAACAACTCTAAAGGTGGCTGGTTACATTCAACTTTCATTCAGTAGACGTACAAGTTTATATGTTGACCTGCAGTGTGGTTCACATTGAGAAAAACTTGAAAAAGTTTTGTTTTTTTAAAACCAAGCGTCAAACTGCAGGACATTTAGAAAACTTTAAACGAACCGGAGTGCCAAGGCTCCTCACTACTCATCGAGTTTGCCAGTGATCTCAGTAAAATACCACAGCTTTTCCCATAGTGCAGCGGCTCCACTCCACAGAGAAACAAACAGCGGAGCCTTGCATCCAAGGACCTTTTCGCTCCGTTAATATGAAAGATTTAGCTGATACTATGAAAACAAGTCTCAAGGATCTAATGCCATCTTATAAAAGAGGCCTAATGAAGCCACGCATGATGTTCCCCGCAAGCATCTCTTAAATGTTAACCTTTCATCTTATGGCCTTTTTTAAAATGTGAAAACATGGATGTTTTTGCCAAAGTGAGGATGTATGGCCAGCGTGCCACGCTGCATTTAGTGGATTCTTTTTTCCTTCCCTGGATTCGTCCTCTTAATGAAGTAGCCCTTTTCATATGTGTCTTTTTCACCGTACCATCTCAGAAGAGAAGCCTTGAGAGCTCAAAAAGAAGGAATGCAACATTTCATCTGCAACATCTGACTTTGTCTCTGCTGTTATATAAAAAAAAAGCTCTCAGCTCACACAAAGAATGCACCTTACTTCAAGGGGAGTTAAAACAAATTACGTGGATGCATAATGCAGTGGTGAAAGCCCACCTTTTGTTGAATTTTTCTTCTTCTTCTTTTTCTACTTAAAAAAAATCAGAAACCTGTGTTTGGGTTTAACAATGGTTCATACACCACTAAGTAGGTTTTTGTTATAAAAGAACAAAGATTAGCTGTTCTCCCACTGTATGTTTTTCTCCGGTATTGTGAGCTCAAGTTTAGCATGCATATCTTTTCTTGAGTGTTTTCTTATTCCTTTTGAAGGGGCCATTGGACTGTCAGGAGATGGCATAATGAGCCCAGATGGTAAAGCAAAAATGGAGGTCAAGGAAGATAGCGGGCAGAACAGTGAGCCCCACAAGCCAAAGGTACTTCCTCAACCACGTTCGTCCTTGTGTTTTCCTCTGTAGCTCTCTCCCTCTTTCTCTCTTTTTGTTTTATTATCTAAATTAAGCACACCAAATCTGATCAGCATGCGCTGCCTCAGCACAGTGGGCTCCTTTCTCAGCCGCTCCCTCGCCATATCTAATGATTTGTTTAACATTTACCACTCCTAATGTTTTCCTGCCTCGTTTTTGCCCTCAGCATTCACTACTTCTCGATGTTTTGGCAACTCGGTGCTGCAATAAACAGAGAAAGAGAAAAAGTGAAACACATAAAAAAGAATGGAGGTCTTGGTATCTGCAGTACACACATGTGCAAACACGCATTCAAACAACACAGAGCAAATACGCGCACACACACACGCACACACACGCGTCTCAATTCACAGTGCTGACTTCTCGTTTTGACCTACAATAGCAGCTCAACTTGGCTCAGCTCAGCAATAACAAAACTCTATTCCTTGCTTTTTTTTTCCTACCCCGTCCCCTTGTTTTTGCTTAACAACCCCTCTTGAACACGCACACAAATACACATGCTTCAATCACAAGCGCTGCACGTCTATTCCCCTCCAAATCCCAGTCTTTTCTTCTGCTGATTATGGTAGTAGGGCCTTTTGAATTATTTAAGGCAGCCTGAGCAGCCAGAAAGACCCCCAGTGCTCCCAAAAGAGATGATCTGTCTGCTAAGAGAGTTCAAGATTCAGAAAGAGAGACGGGGAAAGAGAGGGGTTGCTAGATAACATTTTGCTGACATGAGCATTCTGCACACAGACCAGAAGCTCTCCTTGCCTCTTACTCTCTTCCACACACACTCGCACACACGCATGGGAGTTAACAAAAATGATTTATTGAGGGTGGAGTTTGTATCAGTCTGAGCTGAATGCACGTCAACCCTGACAAACACATAGATACACACACATACAGCACAGTGCATTTCCCATCTGCACAACTGGTTAAAGTAGGAAGAAAGCACGTTTGAGAAGTCCAACTTCCAGTTTTAGGGAAGTAATCATGTAAAGGTACGACAATAACATGCTTCACTTTGCTTTGATAAGTGATTTGATGTCAGTAACAAAATCCTTTCGTGCTCACTGAAAGGTGCTGTGCTCTCTAAATCAGTCGCAGCCAAAACTAATGAAAAACTTAATTAATTATACACTCTGTTGTTTTGCCGAATTAAGTTTATGTTTGAGTACGATTTGTATTAATGATGAAATCATTTGAGGTAACTTATGCAGTATCACAACATTAATTTTCATCCAAAATCACATGTTTATGATGAGAAAGAGAGTTTCCACAGATTTTTAGGTTGGTTCAATGTGTGACGCCGTCTTTTATGGGAAAAAATTTAAAAAGGGAACAGTCTTGTTGCAGCTGACCTAATTTGTGGGATTGTATGATGCTTCAAAATGACCACAATGTTCTTCACTAAATGCACTAAATCCTCAGATTCTTGAAAATGATGATTAACTGTTATTCCTCTGGGTTTTACTAATGAATCCCAACTTTGTTTGTTTGATGTAAAGATATCATTTAGTTTCAAATGGTCAAAAGTCTGACTGCAAGCAGACCATAGGACTCCTTTTTATGGAGTTGTTCTGTTGTGAAATGAGCAGACGGGGATTTGGCACTGGTGATGGGTGATTTGTCAGCTTTACTAAACAAGACTCTCTGTGAAAGAAACTCTACTGGATGGCAGCATATGTTATTCAAAAACCTTTGTACAGTAGTCCGCTTCGGTGGTAAGATATGTGCCATCACCTGTTAAACCTGCTGTTGGCTTTTCAGATCGACTCTTATACGACATATTATATTTCCCATTTTAGTTTCAATATTTGGCTTGAATAATTAGCTAATTATGCCATTCTAAACATGTATTAACTTTATACATGAACACAGAAGATGGTTAATAAGCTGATGTTACATTTTAGAATCAATCTGAATTGTTATTTGTCTCTTTACAACAGCTCCAGGACGGCTACATGAACAATAACAGCAGCAGTGTGTCCCAGCCGGCCACTCCGGGCGGGGTGTTGCCGGTGCCCTCCCCCCTCTCCCCCAGCCCGGCCAGCCTGTCCTCCTACCACGGCGACGACAGCGACAGCATCAGCAGCCCTCCTTGGCCTCTCAAGCCTCCCTCCAGCCCAGTAAGACCTAAAAAAAATCATGTTTATTTGATTGTGAATGAATCATTCCTCTGTACGACGTGCAGACACAAATATCAGAACAAGCCCCCTCGAAAAGCTTTCTCTTTGCTCTGAAGAGGTGTTTATCTTTGCTTGGTCATTCAACCAAATAACCACTCCAGAATGTGTAAATAAGGGGATGAATCTTTAATGATTACTGGGTGAGTGGGTTTTGTATGAGAAAAACAGCGACATGAAAATATACAACACACTTCATTTAGTATAATGGAATATTTTTGTGAAAGAATTTTTCTAAATTAGCATATGCAAATGACTTTACTGTGCTTATATACATAGTGATTGGTGTTGGTGTTGATTCTCAGTCGTCCTACACATTGTAATCAAACAAAGAAAAAGTCAATTTGCCTTTATTCAAGCTGTAAAGCTCTATATATATATATATATTTATCCTTAATGTCCTGCAAGACTGACGACAGCCTCCCTGCCCTTTCAAGACATTGATATATACCATGTATAATGTATGAAGGCTGATTTTAAGAGGAAAGTGTTTCTGCTCTCATTTTCTGTCTTAACCCTCATCAGAAAGCCAACCCCCCCCCCTCGGCCCTCAGCGGGGAGCGGATAGCCCGGCTGTATGAGCTGGGGGCAGAGCCGGACAGACGAGCCTGGGTGGAGCGATACCTGACCTTCATGGAGGACCGGGGCACACCTGTTGCTCAGCTTCCGGCCGTCGGCAAGAAGCCGCTGGACCTGTGGAAGCTCTACATGGCCGTCCGGGAGATAGGAGGCCTGGCCATGGTAATAGGAAACAGGATTAAAACAGCGCCGATCGGATCGTGTTGAAGATAAATAGATATAGAAGAGACATTATGGAGGTTTTCGCAGTGAAACGGGCCTCGCGTGGAGAAATGTCATCTCGCTTTGGTCGTTTGAATTCTTCAACACTGTTGTTTTTTTTCTGGCTAAATGCCATATGCCGTGGCTGTAAATGTTAAGAGATGTGCTGAGGAGAATGAGATATATAGCATTAACAAAGCTCCGTCCATCTGAGACGGCATGTGATAAAACTCCCCGTTATCTGATTTTTCCGGCTCCGTTCAAACCATCCAGGTAAACAAGAACAAGAAGTGGCGCGAGCTGTCCTCCAGCCTCAACGTCGGCTCGTCCAGCAGCTCGGCCAGTGCGCTGAAGAAGCAGTACATCCAGTACCTGTTCGCCTACGAGTGTAAGATGGAGCGGGGCGAGGAGCCGCCGGCCGACAGCAACAGTGGCAGCAGCACCGCTGGGGGGGACAGCAGAAAGCAGGTCAAGATCCAGCCTCCATCACCCGGTAAGTCCTCAAAACAGAGTGGTACCCCCCCCACACACACACACACCCCCCACCCCCTCCCATCTGTCAGCCGACAAACAACAGGTGCCGCTGATCAAACTAGATTTGATCTGTGATCCTCACAGCTGTGTCAGAAAAATTCTCCTCGTGAGCAGAGAAGTTGCATTTTCATCCTGGAAGACTGCCAGGAATCTTTGTAAAAATGTTGCATCTGCAGATTCATCCCAGTCAGAGCCAGTAGGTTACATTATTGTATTACTTGATATTCATAAATCCATCTCAGATTTTTTTTAAAACGGAGCAGATAAGATTACACCCTGGATGCAAGAAGAGTGCTTAAAACCCGAGATATGCGAGGGAAAATTATGAATGTTTTGATGAGGTTATTCTTAGCTTAATGGAGGTGAATTATGATGTGGTCACCTCTTGTGCTTCCAGCCTGAGACTTGCCTTTATTTGATTAGAGCGTGTTAGAAGGTTAAGCTGTATTGTTTAGGCGCAATACCGTAACACACAGGGCACTTTTTTGTTTGTGTTTATTACCTGTTTGCACCCTGTGTCCCTGACCACAATTATGAAGTGAGAGAGAGTTGCTTTGAAAAAAGAGAGGGAAGGTCGCTTCTATAATTTGCAGCAGAGATGAGAAAAGTGACCCTTACTTTTAAATAGGACGCCGGAGCTCTTCACCTGCCAGAGATATTGTAGATTGCTTTATTTCTGCAGGATGGAAAAGAGCATCTGCCCTCATTTGCATTCAGACTTACACATACATAAAGTGCATGGGGCCCCCACACATAAATAAACACATTTAAATGAATTCATGTTCCATCTGCCTCTCAACACTTTATAATTCATAATTCGGCCTCTATCATTGATTTTAGGGAAGCTGAACGTCTAGTTTTTAAATCAGCTATAGGTAGCATAGTATGCACTATTGCTTCTAGTGTTGATGTGAAAGCCCTTTAACTGCGTGTACCTTATCTTAGATAGAGAGAGATATGGATAGATACAGAAAGAGAGAACTGTCTCTGAAAGGTGTTCTACAAACAAAACTCACAAAAGCATCCACAAATCCTTCAAATTCTTTTTTTTTTCCAAAAAGAGGCTACATGTGGTTTACAAATCAACTTTCCGCTTCGTCTCTGTCTTAATATGCTTATGTATAAATCACAGCAGGCCTTGTCCTTAAAGCTGCTAAACTAAATGTTTTTAGGTTTTGAAAAACCTGGTTCCCCTCTTTTTTTTATGCCTCACGGTACTTTGTTGCGCTGCCAGCCTCTAAACCGCTAAACTGCACGCTCTTTTAGCGTATTCAACATATTGCAGCTTTATATGATTTGTCACGGACCTGAAGGCTTGCAGCGATGCTATGGTTATGCATTCAGTTCAAATTTCAGCAGCAGTGCAGATATAACCTCCAGCCATGATATCAAAACCTCACTGGAGCAAGACGGAGGCCATCGGGAAGGTCAGGAGCTGCTCCTCTTCATCTGCATTGATCTCTGACCAAACGCATTTGCCACGATTGGATTGACTGAAGTCTTTTCTCCAGTATTCAATATTTCGATAGTATTTATAGCAACAAAGGAGGCTGCATTTAGATCACTGCCTTGTCTGAAATCACGGATCAGCATCTTTTCGCTTCCATTTTTTTCCTGTTTAAAAAGTACAAGTGAAATCGGGTGAAGAAAAAGTCAGTAATCCAAGTTCACGTGCTTAAGAAAAAGAAACCAGTTTAGTTCTTTTGTGTATGTCCATTTTGATCTCCTTCCTGCGAGAAAAAAAAACTGCAAACATGCCCTTCTGACACCATGCCAGGCTAAATATAGACTGACAACCCAATGATGTCACTGAGGCAGCCTGTCCAGCGGGCTGGTGGGGGGTGGGGGGGGAGCGGGGGGGGGGGTAGAGACTGTGTGTTTATGTGGTGCCGGTGGTGGGGACTGCAGAGTGATTAATGAGGACTGGAATGTAGAACGTAAACAAACCCGACCTCGCCGTCACCTTTCATTCATAAAACCGGCTTGGCTGACTGGCTTTTTTTTCCCCCCCCTTTTAACCACTACCACCACTCCGGATTATGTCACACGCCGACACGCGCGCGGGCGCTCACGCACCAGCGCACACACATCAAACCTCAGCCTCACGGGCTCATGCGTGTGCGCGCTCTTTTGCCCCCTCTCCTCTGACTTTATTTTTTTTTTCTTTTCTCCCTCTAAATGTGGAGCAGAGGGCACTTAAGTTCCCGTTCCCGTTCCCCTCCACCTTCCTCCCTCCACTCCTTGGCATTACAGATGTGCCTGACTTCCAGCCATTCCTTGGAACAAAAGCAGGCTTCTTAACCTCGGCTGACCTCACTGTTGTTTGCACTTCAGCACATATGCATGCGTGTGCATATTCATCCGCCCTGACACCGGGATATCCCAGGATGTGAAAAATCCCTAATGCTCGCTGAACCGTCTTTGCCCTCTCTCCACCTCTGCTCATCATCATGGGACACCATCTACCCCCGTCTGTCTCTCTTTCTCTCTGTCTCCTGTGATGTAGAAGCAGGGGGTATCATTGAATAATTCAGAATCCACATGAATTTTTAACGCGCGATTCTTACGGGGGCTTTTTTTTCTTGGGAAATGTGTGTTGTAGGGAAAGGCCACTTAGGCTTTTTTCAGAGAAGGGGCTTCTCACGCTAAATGCTCATTAGGAGACTTTCATATTCTCTCACTGTCTTTGTCATCTTTTAGCTGGAGCAGCCCACATGTCTCATTCATCCTGGGAATTTACATCCCTCGGCTTTATCTGGTGTTTGTGTATGTGTGTGTGTGTGAGTCCATGTAGCTCTGCACTCCTATAATTTCCCAGGCATCCGAACAGAGACATATACAGAAACATGGTGTCATAACAAAGGAGGATGCTAACCCACTTTCAACCACAAATTGTTTCACATATGTGAAGGGATGCGTTTTTTTTTTTTCAGGGAGGCCTGTGGCAGCACCGGGTTTCTCCAGCTTTTCACTCATTTTGTAGGGGATGTTTTCTAAAAGCATCAGGCTCTTTTTTCGAAGTTTGCCTTGGCAAAACTATCTTCAGACAGCTTCCGAACCAAGAGCTGCGTGGGCAGTTTTCTGCTCAATGAAATAGTTCCGCTCCGTCTGCCCCTTCTTCCTCCGCTGGCCCTTCATCATCCATCCCTCCGTTCACATCTTCCCTGCCCTCATGTTTTTGTATTTGTTCAGGCTCAGTTCACACGTCGGGCATAGCTGCGAGCGCTTTGGCCTAAAGCCCGTGGTTATCTCCCAAATACAGCACCTCACTGTGGTGAAATCCCACTTTGGCCTCCTTAACTCAAACCAGCCTCGGCATCACGGGAAGGATGCCGGGGAGCCCCGCGATTTGAATGAACACTTTTAGTGGGAAGTCAGCGAATCACCCAGATTTAGGAATAACGCCTCGCCTCTCTCTCCCCCAGCTAATTCAGGCGGCTCTCTCCAAGGCCCGCAGACCCCTCAGTCGTCCGGCAGTAGCTCGGCAGCCGAGGCAGCAGGTGACCTGAAACCCCCCACACCCGCCACCACCCCGCTGGGACAGGCCACGCCACTGCCCCCCAACAGGTACCACAAACGCTTCTGACTCTGTTACTGCGCTAATACTGCTGCTAACTGTCACCTAACCCACATAAGCATTACCATTAATCCAGTACCTGCTATCTGTTAATATGTGTTTATGCATCTGTTGTTATATAAACATATGAAAACATATTTAATTATAAAAACTGAAGCTCTTTGTTTTTTAAAGATAAAGATCTTTTTTTTAAAGATCTCATTGTTTTTGGTGAATTCAGTGTGTAGGATTTCCTGGGGGGGTTGGGGGGATTTTTTTTTTCCCTCCTCCTTCATCTCTGCTGATTTTAATTATAAACCATGACAGCTGTGTTTGGAGAGCCTGGCAGGGGCGTAAAAGCCCCTTTGTTTGCTTTCTTTGTGATATAATGTGAGAAGTAAAATTCATGTCTAACAAGTGTTGTTTACCCGCTGCAACCCCGAATGTGGTGTGTTTTAAATCAGCATCGCGGAGACATTTACAGACATCAGTTACGATTTGTATAGTATATGAAATACACATTTTCTTCAAATCCTTTATTTTCAAAATGAGGTGCAACGGGATTTTGTTGGACCACAGATAGCACAGATGACCACACCAGAGAATTGTATTGATAAACTTACACACATCTGTAACATTCATTTCCATCTAGTGTTGCACTGACTTTTCACCAAGCTCTTGCATTAATGATGGACAGGTGTGAGGACCCTACACTTAGAGTCTTAGAGACGGTGAAGGTGTGGAATCTGAAACGATAACTCGTCTCACAGTTTGAGCTCGATGATATCTGATTCAGTCATTGCTCGATACGCCTAAGGAATCAGGGGAAATATATTTATTGATTAAAAAGTCGCTTCTTTCCTCCAACTACAGTATTTGCCCTTCTATGTGGTAGTTTAAAGAATGAGAAGTTTCCCAACACATTAGGTGGGGTAACTTGCTCACAGATCCAACACATTCATCACAGCATTATGTTTCACATCTTATCTATTTGCTTTGCTGAATCAAGATGGTGGCTGTTTTTTTTTTTGTTTTTTTTGGCAAGGCAATGTTGGGCACTAGAAGAGAGCATTGGAATATACTGTACAAGAATTAAATGTCCGTTTAGGGGTTTACGGTGACTATTTAGTTCCTTTCGTTAATACAGAGTTTAGTGAGTCATCTATTGCAATTTTTCCTTATTAGCAATAACGGCAAGATCAACACTTTGCAAGTGTAAACTGTTATCGTTTTGGACTACCCAGCAGTATGTAACAGTATTGATTATTACTATTACTCCAACATCAAAATGAATAATTGACGCATGAAAATGGTTTAAAAAAAAGATCGATCTTTTCACCAACAGTAAAAGCAAAATGTCCAAATACGAGTCTCTTACCTGACTTTCCGCCCATGCTTTTATCGTGTCCGGGCCACAGTGTGCTGCTCTCGCTCTACTTTCTCTTCTTCCTGTTGTTTGCCCAGGAGCAGCGTGAGTGTACAGGACCCCTTCTCGGAGGTGAACGACCCAGCCTTTCAAAAGCGGGCCACCCCCCTGCCCCCCTCAGCTTCTTACCAGCAGGGCCTCAGCATGCCTGACATGATGATGAGGATGCAGTACGACGCAAAGGACCCTTTTGCCGGGATGAGGAAGAGTGAGTGAGGCACCTGCTGCGACACCCCTCCACTAAAAAGCAGATTATTTAAACGATTTCTCCATTTTCATATATTCTTTTGATTCGCAACATACGTTGCATACGTTAATGCTGACTCTGCTCTCTTTTTTGGAGCATGAAACCACGAAACACACTTTTAAGCATCAGTTATTTTCCGTTCATGTGGATGAGCCAAAATAGGCATTTGAAATTCTTTGTAAAATCTCACATGGCTCCTGAAATGAAGGATACCCTACAATCATATTCTGTCTTTTGTCCCAGTGGTTTAATTCACTGCCAAGTCACTATGTCTTCAAATACTGCAACAGATGTGTTTTTTTACCACTTGAACCATGAAAGGAGATGAGAACAGTTTTTTACACCTCACATGCCTTTATCGAAAAACCCACCAGCTCATCTCATCTTCCTGTAGCTTAGCCTTCGTCTCATCCTTACACCGCTCCTCCTTTTCATCCTCCTTGTTTTCTATCTTTCATCCTTTGCGCCCCACTGAGACGCACCTGTTTTGGCCAAATCCCGTGGTTTAGTTTTCAGAACAAACAGTGTTTTAAAAAAGAATGCCGGTTCCTCTGATGACTTCAGAGAATGGAGTCTGAATGGATAATATGGTGGATGGTTGCTGCATAATAACACAAGGTCCTCAGAACAATAAGTCTAATCACAGAGTGAATATTCATAGAGGAATGCTGCCACCTGCTGGTGATCTGATAATACATTTGAGACTCCATATTTTTTTTTCTCACTATTATGATGTTTTTTGAGTAGTACTGACCTTTTGCTTTTCTCTACCACAGTGGCCGGAGCTGATCCATATATCCCTAGCCAGATGCCCAGCGCTAGCATGCAGGAGATGTATGGTCGGCCCCCGTCTTCTCTGAGCATGAACCAAAGGTCCCAGTATCCGTACGGGCCAGGTTACGACAGGAGGTAGGAAATCACAAAGAAGAAATACTGAATCATTGATCAAATCTACTAAATATTGACCAGTGAGCTCATGCAATAAGTCTTACCAGTGAAGAATGAGCATCTCTGCCTTTTCAAACTCCAGACCGGAGCACATGATGGGGATGGAGGGGTCTATGGGCCCCCCAGGGAGTCAGAACAACTTGGGACCTCCCAACAGTGAAGGCAGCATGTACTCCCCCAGTCGATACCCTTCTCAGCAGAGGTCAGCGCTCTTCTGTGTGAAAACCGCTAAAATATCGTTTCTCTCAGTGAGGGCCTGTTAGCAGCTTATCAGTGAGTGACGTCTCTTTTTTTTCTGCTCCCTTTTCTTCATTTCAGACACGAGGGCTACAGCCAGCAGTATCCCAGCATGCCGTACGGGATGCACCCGTCTGGGATGTATCCACAGCATCAGGTGAGGAAACGGTCAGCACGGTTAGGTTAACAGATCCTGGGCTTTAAAAAATCGTTCATCTGCTTTTAAGCCTCCAAAGCTTTTATGTTGTTTCATCCTACCAATGTGTTTCGCTGTTTTGAAAAGCAAATCTCAAGAGTTAATCTAAAAAGTCATACAACCTTGGATTCAGGAAAGTTAAATAAATAGCTTAATAAAGCGTAAAAACAATAACGCTCATGTAAAAAATGTCAGAAATAATTTCAGCAGTTAAGAAAATAAGACTAATTTTAATCTTAACATAATTATTGTAATGGATGTTGGCTAATTAACATGTGCATGCTGTCACAAAATATTGAAATAATTGAGATTTTCCTCTCAGTAGACTCATGTATTATTTAAACTGTTGGTAGAGATGCATTAGTTGCGAAAATTTTTGCCAATATTGATGTTGTAATTAATTATTTTAAAACCTTTCTAAGAAATTATTTAGTATTGTTTACAAATAGGAGCAAATGTCATTTCTAAGCTGTCCAGAGATACAATCCACTTCCAGCCAATTAGACTCCAGTTCATTGGCAGAATTCAATGAATTCCAATCAAATATCATAGTAATGATTTACATAACAGACAACCATGATAAATAACCACACTGCTTGTATTTCAGCTTTTTATCACACTTTTTGAATGAACCCAGATCCTTTCATACAAACCTACAAAGCAACCTTTAATAAAACCTCTCACGCCAGAAAAAAGTTTCAAAAGCCCTGTTAGCCGGCTTGACCACCATCTAATTAACAATGTTTTAGTACTTCATCGACCAAACAAAATGTTCCTTTAAAAAGAACATTTCACTTGGCAATAACCTCTTTGGATCAGCCTGCAGTTTGTGACAAAGTCAATGCAACACGTCCACCGCTTTTCTGTCCATAAAGCTGTGCATCCCTCAATGTATTTGGCTATTTAACAGTTAATAAAAAATCCTATTTTTAAAGGTATTCTGATACATTGCAAGCATTAGAGAGCAGGTTTCTATTAAAAATCCAGTCATCGCCACATCTATCAGATGAATGTAGTTAAAGTTAAAAACTCAACTAATCCTGTCTAGATGTATGGCTACGGTGTAAAAATAAATAAATTCAACAAGGAAAGGCTGTGAAATTGACCTAAAATCTGTCCTTTCACCCATTTTCTACACCTGCTTATTCCAAGTCAAAGTCATGGGGGTGTTTCTGGATGATTTTATTATTATTCTATTCATTTTTTAAGATCCTAATGGTTCTAGTTTGAAGTATTTATCCCATTTGCTGCTCTCCTATTTATACCCGAAGTGAGGACTGCAACATATGGAGAAGCTTCTTTTTTTTATGTGCTCTCGCTTGTGGAAAAGCCTCCCTGAGGTGCTGAGGGCAGCTGGGAGTGTTTAAAGAAAAACTTGAGACCAAAAAAGCGTTTTTAGTTATTTATGTTTAATCCAGTCTTTATTACTTATATAACGCTTATATTGTTTAACACTTAAACTTTGTATTTAAATATTATTATTGAATTTATATATTATATTATTAGATTTGATCCTATCCTATTTTATTTAAACATATATGCTATTCTATTCTGTTTAAAAGATCATTAATCTGCTGTCTGTTTATGGATGGGAAATTGATGGGGCACATGGTATTTATTTTATTTATTCTTCTTGAAACTTTTCTGTTTTTATTCAAGCGCCTTGTGTTGTGTTGTGTTGTTTGTATGGAAAGTGCTTTAGAAAGAAATAATGATTGATTGGTTGAAAGTCATCCATTTTTCTTCACTCCAACAGGGCTACAAACGGCCAATGGATGGAATATATGGCCCTCCCCCCAAAAGACATGAGAGCGACATGTACGCCATGCAGTACACCAACCAGCAATCGGACCTGTACAACCACTATGGGGGGGGTTACTCGGGCCCTGAGCACAGACCCCTCCAGGGACAGTTCCCGTACCCTTACCACCGCGATCGGATGGCTCCTTCCGGCCAAAGCCAGCACAGCATGATGGGAGGGGGCCCCACCCCCAACCACACGGCCGACGGGCCCAACATGTGGCCTTCCAGAACGGACCTCAGCTACCCCTACCCCAACAGACAGGGCCCGCCGTCGCAGATGCCCCCGTACGGCTCCATCTGCAGAGACGAGCTGGACGGCCGGCCCGGTCAGGAGCAGTGGCACCGGCAGTCTCCGTACATGTCATCGCTGTGCGGCATCCCGCCCATGTCGTCACGCCAACCGTCATCTTACTCCGGCTCCCCGTCCATGTCCAACCACTTGCCCAGCGCGCCCAGCCCGGGGGCCTTCCAGCGCTCCATGGACTCTCGAATGTCCCCCAGCAAGGCGCCGTTCATGTCTCCCATGAAGATGCTCAAGCCCGGACTGGCCATGATGGGCTCACAGAGCACTGGGCTCATGGGTCAGTTCCCCCCGAACCTCAGGAGGGACCTGAACTACCCGCCGGGGTCAGTGGAGGCCACCATGCCGCTTCTCAAGCCTCGACGCAAGCTCACCTCTAAGGACAGCGGTAAGATAGAGATAACTGTTTGTACTAATCATATTAATGAACTGATTGATAATTAATATGCATTGCAGATTGTTTCAAATCTAGTTGTGCATTTAGATTTGAAGAATATGCTTTAACAACAAGCTATCTCTACTAGAAACACTACTTTTCAGATGCACATCATGAAGTAGAATTGAAGAAAGAAACCTTTTATATCCTATCTATCATATCTATCTTTTACGATTTTAAATGATGGCTCGAATATTTGTAAACATTCCACTGTTCTATCCCCAGGAATGCCTGAGGCCTGGCGCGTGATGATGTCTCTGAAGTCTGGCCTACTGGCGGAGAGCACGTGGGCTTTAGACACCATCAACATCCTGCTGTACGATGACAGCACTGTGGCTTCCTTTAACCTGTCCCAGGTAAAACCAGTCTGATCTCTCAGCTAGTAGAAAAAGTGGAACGGAATTTTAAAAAACAACTACTCTTGAAATGTTGACGGTGACTACGTTTGACTTCTGTTTTGGGCAGCTGCCGGGGTTCCTGGAGCTCATCGTGGAGTACTTCCGCCGCTGCCTGATTGAGATTTTCGGCATCCTGGAGGAGTTTGAGATGGGAACCATGGCTCAAAAAACCCTCGCGCATCCCGATTCCACCCTCAAAGAAGGGCCGGCTCCAGACCAGGAAACGCAGCCGGCCGCTCCAGCTGGACCTGAATCCTCCCTGCCGGCGGAGACACCGGTGGAGCAAACAGGAAGCGCCAAGGAGGAATCTCCATCTGTCCCTGCGGAGCCCGGAGAGGAGCACAAATCGAAGGAAGATTCCGAGGGCCGCACGAAAGAGGACATTAACGACGGAGAAAAAGAAGGGGAGGTGGAGAAGGGCAAAGAAAGCAAAAAGGAGGGTGTAAACCAGCCCCCTGCAGAGTTAGAACCTAAGCCCAAACAAGCCAGCAAGTACGATAAACTCCCCATCAAGATAGTGCCCAAAGAGGAGCTGGTTGAAGACTTGACCGAGCGCTTGGGTTACGTCACCGAGTTCACCAGCGGGCTGCTGCACTGGCGGGCGGGTGGAGGCGACTCCACCGCGCATATTCAAACCTACTTCGAACCGCGGAGCGAACCTCCAGCCTGGACGGGGGAGAAAAAGCTGAGAGAGAAGGCGGAAGACGAAAGCGAGCCGCCCGCCAAACACATCACGGCGACCATCGACGACGTCCTGTGCGCCCGGGTGGACGCCCTGTCCTCGGCGCACCCGGCCCGCTCCCTGCCCTCCTACCCCTTCCGGGTGCACCCGGACGGGGAGGAGGACCACATCACCCTGCTGGAGGACGAGCCCCGCTGCCTGGACGAGGCCCCGCTCTGCACCGCCTCGGCCTGGCAGGACTCGCTGTCCCGCCGCTGCCTCTGCGTGTCCAACATCGTCCGCGGCCTGTCCTTCGTCCCCGGGAACGACCTGGACATGTCGCGCCACCCGTCCCTGGTGCTGCTCCTGGGGCGCCTGCTGCTGCTGCGCCACCTGCACCCGGAGCGGAACCGCGCGTCCCCGGGCTACCAGCGGGACGAGCGGCGGGAGCAGGGGCCGGCCGCCGGCGGCAGGGAGGAGTGGTGGTGGGAGTGCCTGGCCCTGCTCAGGGAGAACGCCATGGTCACGCTGGCCAACATCGCGGGCCACCTGGATCTCTCCGCCTACCCGGACACCATATGCCTGCCCGTGCTGGACGGCCTCCTCCACTGGATGGTGTGCCCGTCGGCCGAGGCCCAGGACCCCTTCCCGTCGGCGGGGGCGCACTCCCAGCTCAGCCCGCAGAGGCTGGCGCTGGAGTGCCTCTGCAAGCTGAGCATCCAGGACGGCAACGTGGACCTCCTGCTGGCCACGCCGCCGTTCAGCCGGCAGGAGAAGCTCTTCGCCGTCCTGGTGCGCCACGTGGGCCAGAGGAAGGCGCAGGTGTACAGGGAGATGGCGGTGGCCGTCCTGGCCCACCTGGCTCAGGGAGACCCCACGGCGGCGCGGGCCATCGCCGTGCAGAAAGGCAGCGTGGCCAACCTGGTGGGCTTCCTGGAGGACGGCGTCGCCATGGCGCAGTACCAGCAGAACCCCCACAGCCTGCTGCACATGGGACACCCCCCCATGGACCCGCCCAGCGTAAACATGATGTGCAGGGCCGCCAAAGGCCTGTTGGCCATGGCGAAAGTGGAGGAGAACAAGACAGAATTCGTGCTCTACGAAAGCAGATTACTAGACATCTCCATTTCCTCGGTGCTCAACGCAGGAGTCGTGGCCATTATTTGCCAAGTTCTGTTTCACTTAGGGAAATTATGACAGGAGGAGAGGCAGGACTGGCGCGGCAGACACTGAGGCTTACAAGATATCTCTCACTTTCTATTTTTATTTATCAAAATGACAGAAAATGTTTGTGTTAAATGTTTGTTTTTTTAAAAGAAATATCCACATAAACAAAATATCTATATATGAATAGCTTCTGGACCCTGTTGGACATGAGTTTGAGATTTGAAAGCTCATTTTAATATAAATATTTAATACCTGCTGGTGTTGGATGGTTTTGTTTGATATTTTGTTCGTTTTTGTTATCGTTTGTTTACTTTCTCAGCCAAAGCTGCCACCAGATTTTGGTGCTGAATTGTGTGGTTCCTTTTGAGTCGATGAGATGTTTTTCAGTTTTATAAAAGCCAAAATGCTCATCAACGTTTTGTTAATGGAGAGTATTTATTTAAAAAATGTCACACTGTACAGTACTTTGAAGCGGTTGTTGATTTCTTTTGCCAACATATGTGGGGAAGTAAAGCAGAAAAAAAATAAAGGAAATCCAGAAAAAGAACGCAGACTTTTTGAACGGAAAAGTATATGTCTCATCGCTGGAAGATAAATTGTGCAATAGGACCAGAGCAACTTGTCCCTTTTGAAAACAGGAGGATGTGAATTTTCTGACACCTGCAGTGTGTGCTTCAGACCACGTGGGGGCAGCATGGCACCACCCAAACTACGACAAAGAAGAGACTCAAAAGAAGTTTAGCAATCATAGCCTCAATGACTCACAGAACAGACTTTGTGTTTCCAGAACATTTGTGTTTTGTCTGTATTTTTTCATCACCGTGTATATAAACTTTTGTGCAATGGACGCACATGACTCTCTCAGTCCCAATCAAGCATAGCAGAGAAGGGGCTTTCTGATTATAATAACAAAGGCTTTTATTGTTGGTAAAATTTGGTATTGTTACGATACATATTTTGTTAATGGGGTCAAATATTTGAACATGGCAGATGTACCTGATGTTTCATTGTAAAAAAAAATACCTGTATGCATTGTATAATAGCTGAGAAAACAATCGCTTTGGTAATCAAATGTGGAAGTGCCAGGGTGAGAGGATGAATAAGGTCACATGAGAAAACTGAACATATTTCTGTTTCTTAATGTCCTCCATTCATGTCAATGGACATATTTTTGAATCTGCATATCACTCTAAAAGAATTACGTGAAAAGAACCTGCAAAATGTTCTGAAAGCTCAATGTACAATTTGCCTTTTTTCGTATGACTCCCTGTCTTTTATTCCGTATACACATTTATACTCTGTGCTGCACATGTCACAAATAAATGTACGATGAACATCGTTAAACACTGGAGACGTTGCATTATGTCCAGACAATCTTAGGCCAATAAAACAAACATCGACTGCTTACCTGGGCTGTCTTTTTGCTGATTTCATTAATGAGGGCTCCGTCAGAGCTGGAACTGGATTTTGCAGCCACAGAGTGGCAGAGACCGAAGGGCGGCCTCCTGCTCAGGTCCAGAGGACGCCTGATAAGAGGAGCTGATTGTGTCAAAGTGTTTAGTTTGAGTGCGACAACTCAGAGGTCTATAAATCCATTTTTGTGGCACGAAGCATTAAAAATAGAATTGAACCCGAAAGAAAGATTTGCTTAAGGATTTTGCTCATTTAACCTGGAATTAATTCTTAACTGATAGGTTACACTGTTTGAAACAACGTGCTGAATGAGGATTAATTATTTGTATGACGCAGTTACGGTCATTATTCATTCTTTCTATTGATCAGCTGGAGTCCTTGTGAGGCAGACAGTCCTTTCCTGATGAGCACCTTTGATTATCTTTAGGCCGGATCTTTGCTGTTTCAGTTGGCTGATGTTAAACTGACTGCATTTTATTTGATGACCAACCAATTTATCGGTCAACGGAACGATGGTTTGAAGCTGCTGTTTAGGTCACAGCTGGATCAGTTTCTTGGTGTTCCATCATAAAACCATATTTTTACTTTTCACCAATACAGGTGAAATGCACGCAATATCCTTCACCCTGCACCAGCCCAAAGGATGTAGATGAGAAACAAACTCATGCAAGATGAGGACATCTGAGGGCTGTGGGGGCTGCTGACCTTTAACTGCCACTCTCTTATCAGCTGCAGTCCAGATTCATCCACATCTGTCTACAAATGAACACAGGATATATAAATCCATCTACATTTTTCCATTCTGTTTTTCATTTGTATTTGATAGTTGCAGCTGGATCTTCATTAATAGCTTAACAAGGACTCTCTTTTGCCTTTTGCTGCTTAACCCCTTTCTTGTCTGTCTAAACATTCTATTTTACTTCATTTCCAGTGGAGCAGATCAGGAAGAGATACTTTTTTAGTAAGCTTTTTTGTGTCGTTTGTAGTAAATGTAATTTCCTCATCTTGGAATCTGACCGTCTGGTCCCCTCATCCCCTCACGTTGCAGACACCACATACCGCCTTATTTTAAGCTGCCTTTAATAATCATTCCAGTGGTTGACGACACAGGCAATAAGCTGTCTGATCACTGGCTGGGCCATAAATCGTGATTATTAGCTGGGTCACTTGGCTGCAGGGATACAAAATCCCTCCTCCTCACCCTGGTAAACCTTCCTGTCACCTCAGAATAATACACATCACATCTGGGAGGTGATGAACAGCCTTCTGTGGAGAATGAAATCACATCTACTGGAGCTGAGTTGTTGTTCGGTGTCTTAAGCTGCAAATTCTGAACCATTTTGTCTCATTTAAAGTTTCGAGGGAAAGTGGGTTGCAGGACTTTTAGGTGAGTTTCATGTAGGCAGCCAACCGCAGGAAAACCTCCCACACTCCCATGCCTCTGAAAAAGCTGAGTCATCGAGCTCTGACGGAGTGGTTGTGGTCACTGCCAGGACAATGGGCCCATCATTGGCTACAACTGGAACTGGTTACCCGGCTGTGTCGCCTCTCTCTGCTCAAGCAGGTGGATAAATCTGGACTGGGTGAATAAAAAAGAGACTGAGTGGATCTTTTCAGAGTTCTGGCAGAGCCGTGGGTGTAAATTAGCCTCTTAATCAAGCTCAGATTTCCCTGTGTTTCTGCATCTGATCCTGCTTTTAAGAGAAACAATACTGGCTGGATGAGGACTAATATGATGTGATTGCTGCCTGCTCTTGAATTCAGTCGCAAAGGAACTATCATATTCATGCATTGCCCTGTGCAAATACAGACTTTGATCCATCATTGTGCTGCTAAATACGCCTACTGCAAAGGCTTTATGAGAGGTGGTTACAGAAGACAATCAACAAGTAAAAGTAAAACACACAAAGAGTTATATGTGTCGCTTTTTGTCCCTCTAGTCATGCTTCTCCCTACAGAGACAGTCATCTCACAGACGTGTACAAGTCGAGCTCCTGAGGCACTTTGGCTTGCTTTGTGTCTGGATATAAATCCAATTTTTGTACAACAAACAGCAGATGATAGAAGTAGGGGGGGAATGTGTGCTCCCTCCGCTTTTCATGCTGTACGGTTCCGTACAATTAAGTCCTTTTTCCGGTTACATGAAACAAAGCCACACTTCTTTGCAGAGAGAGGAGAATTGCACAACTGTGGGAGTGAGTGAGCTGAATTGCCTGGGTGACTTCGGAGTAATATGAGGAGGTGTGCATGTGTGTCCGTGCATGTGTAGGTGCCAAGAAGAGGACAGATGACAGAGAAAACTGTGGGCTGATGATGCAATCAGGAAATGACTTCACGGGTGAACTTGAGTTGGCAGGAAGGCACAAGATGTGTGGCTGGATTGCTGCGTGTTCTGCTTTCAGTAGAGAATACGGGAGAGGGCGTCTCCGTTTAGTGAGCCGTTTCCTGTCAGTAAAATGTCTGTTGTGTTTGCCTTCAGTCGTTCTTTTTTTCCAAAAAAGTGGACGCATCCCCAATCGTGGGTTCTCTAGTCGAGGTTCAGATACGTGTCACATTCACGGCCCGCCTCGGACCATTCGGGCTCCATCCTGATTTCTGTACATGCCATTGTTGAAGCCAATGAGGGTCTCTGTCTGTGCCTTGCCCAAAAGGCTTCAACATGTGGTCCAGGTAACACCAACTACAGACCTTCTGACTGCTCACCCCCCCTCCAGCCGCCCCTTCAGTGCCATCCTGAACTGGAGCTGTTAAATAACCGACACTAGCGCAATCATTTGTCACCAGGCTGAATGGCAATCAAACACTGCCACCTTGCTTTTAGGAGCAATTTGAAAGGGTGAATGTGAGTTTTATTTTTTTGTAAAAAAGGGCCACAAAATTCCACACAATTGGATTTCAGAGCTGGGCCTCACTCAGGTGCAGCAACGGTGCAATTTTGTCTTTGAAAAACAACAATTTGTTCACCCAAATTCTTGTGAAATTGGGGCTGAGGTCCTGGCTAGTACTGGGTTTACTTAATATACTGGAGTGCTCTCATATTGGGGTTCCATCTAGCAGGCTCCTCCTCCTATATAGGATGGATTTTTCTCTGAATAAAATAAATATACCCTTTCCCCCCCCCAAAAAAAAAATGTTCCCTAAAAGTCCTCCGGGTCCAACTGTGGGAACCCCTTCCCGAGCCCTTTCTCCTTCAGACCCGGCCTCGGTTTGAAGGGGGAGGAGCAGGCGGAGGCTCAGCCTCGCTCCCATGTTGATGTTTGTTGTTTGCGAGGGCGGCAGCGCTGTGTGGACGAGGGGAACCGAGGGGAATCGAGGGCTGCCGACTGGCCTGTCGGGGCGCTTCACCGTGGCCACCAGCAACTTTTTGCCCAAACCAGGCCGATTGCTGGTGATTTTTGGGGGGGGATCACGACGCGCCGAAGAAAGGCTGTGAAACGCCCGGCCGTATGGCCGTTCGGCCCCTCTCGGCTCGTGTTGTGCGCAAAGAGACACGTCTCCGTGATCGACGACCAGTCAGGATGCTGGAGCTCGCCTGAGAGCTCCCCCCGACGTCTGCTCTCTCCCTGGATTTCCCTTTTTTTTCTCCCTTTTAAAAAAAAAAAAAAAAAAAAAGAGGAAGTTCTCCCGCGGCGACGAGACCATTCAAACTCATCTGTCCGTGCGTAAACTTGTAAAAATGGTCTTCATTGCTCTGGCTCGTAACAAACCCGGGTAACGGCGCGAGCGGCTACGTGACACCACCCCACGCGGCACCCTCCCTCGGTAAGGCGGCGCGGAGACTCGCCTCGGCGGGCAGAGCAGGCGAACGCAGCCGGGATGTGACGCCTCGCTGCCGGGCTGACAGCGCAGCTGAGGACTACACGGAAGCCGTCCTCCTAGCTCCACTCTGGGGGGGAGAGTTACCAGTAAAACAGCCTTATTCGGGATTTTAGTGGTTTTTGAGTGAAGTAGGCGGACTTAAAACCCTTAATTGGACAAGTTGACCAACGCGCTAATACCAACTTACATCCATCACGCCAACTTGCTAGCCACGTTAGCTTGTTAGCAATTAGACTTTTTATATTTTCTCCTGTCGTACTAACAAAGGCCCTGCTAATAAGTTACAGATAATACTTTAGGGTAGGATAAGTGAATTTGGTTGGCGTTTGATTTGCTGGACGTATGTTTTGGGCTGTTTTATCGTCCACGAGTTACCAAACAACCACCCAAAAAACTTGTGCATTGTGAACGTTAGCTGAGGTATTATTTATAACAGGAAGTTGGAATTGCACTTGTCGAAGTTTTCCTCCCACCTACACTCGAAAAGTTTCGAGCCCCCGCGCTAAACTTAGCCTGTTTCTTCCACAGAGGCTTGCCTGCCACTGGATTTATTCAGCTCTGGGACATTTTCAGCAGCAATAGATGCATCTCGGGGAGTCCATGAGAGAGTGCGAGTACAGCCAGATCAGCACTCGCAGCTCCACACCAATGGAGACCCCTTACAAGAAAAGAACCCCAAAGAAGAGGAAGTGGGAGGCCTTCCCAGGTCGGAATAAATTTTACTGTGATGGGAGGATTATGATGGCCAAGCAGACAGGGGTGTTCTACCTCACCCTCGTCCTCATTCTTGTGACCTGTGGACTTTTCTTCGTTTTTGAGTAAGTATCCTGGAGTGATTGATTGGGCCCCTGCACACATTAGATGACCCTTTGCATGAGGGATTTCATTTCACAGGCTCAGATGGCAGGTTAAGATGTAAGACAAGTCAATTACCACATCACAGACATGATTCTGAGGTGCCATTTTCCTCGGTCCTCCTCAGGGGTCAGGGAGATGTGATTGAAAACTGTCTGAACGATATGTAGCAATATCCCTTAGAAGAACATTTCTTGAACAGAGGCTGTGTACTCATCTAGTTTGATTCCATTTCTGTGGCAACTGGCTCAGGTATTCCATAAAAAGACGGGGGCGTGCTTTTATATAGCTGCCGGCTAAAATTATGGCATCCCCTTATGAGTGGATGTTGATGAGGCTGGTTGATTTTAAAGGAAATGTTATTGAGTCACTCAGTTGAGAGAAGAAAAAATACAATATGTGTTTCTAAAAGAAATACCTGCACTAGTCTTTGTAGGCAAATTTGCTGGCAATTTAACAGGACCGCTGGCACATGTTTTGACATCTCTAAGTAACAGGAAACTCAGGCCAAACAAGTCAGCTGTCAGCTGAAACAAAAGACAGGCGTATAAAAGTCTTTCAAGTTGGCAATTTAACTCAGAGTGACAAACATTGTCGGTTGTTCCCAACTGTGTCTAAGGTTTGAGGTATGCACAAGTATAATGGGAATGTCCATCCATCCATTATCCATTCTGCTTATGTCTAGTAATGTAACAGAGGGCTGGAGTCTATCCCAGCTCTCATAAGGGGGAATGACCTAAAATGGAAAAAGGAACAGGTTGACAGGAAAGACTTTAAACTATGAGGATGGAAACAGTATACATTGAACATGGAACATGCATGTAAAGAACAAATATAAATGAGAAACAGTCAGTTTGTGTAAGCCAACTACGCGATGTCAAGAAATGGGAATCTATGTCCAGAAAACCCAAGCATAAGGAATTGTAAAATATATGTATATACATATATAATCGAAGGTGGGGAATGATTGAAAGGGTTTTTTTTTTTTGGTTTTTTTTAAATAGTCTGCTCAGAGCAAAGAAAATTATCCCTGTTGTTTTGTTTTTTTCTAAACAAGCAAATGAACACAAGCTAAGGAGTCTGACCAAAACTGGACCTTCAAAATGTCAGTAAACACATTAGTCAAACCAAAATCATCTGAAATCTAGCAGACTAAACAGACTTCCACTGCCAGGCATTGAGTCTGGAAGTGAGATCTTTCCTTCTACATTCAGATGGGGCCGGATGCTCACGTTTCGTTTTGTTTTATTAAAAACAGTATATTGTTATGAGCTCTCATGTCAGGTACGATAGCACTTATTACTCTACTGTGAGTGCTCAGAGTGAGCTCCACATCTGTCCACGATGAGTGAAATGCACAGTGCAGCATGTGGACATTGACCTGAGTGCTGCCATCACTGCAGGGTACCACAAGTCATCATGGGCTCTGTCTCAGGTCATTAGCCCATCGCTGTGTCATCTATCATCTCAGAAATCCCCATCTAAGATAGATGAGAGTCCTGCTCTGTCAGGAGATTTGTTGTCCTCCTGCACAGCCTTCACTGTGAGAGGATGTCCAACAGAAGCTGTGCTCTCTGCCCACTGCACAGTATCTGTTTAACGATGCCCAGACTTGATATGCACACATTGGCCACTTTGTTAGGTACCCAAATTAAGCGATCCTTTATAATGTTTTTTTCATTTTTAGTTTTTTTAGTTTTTATTTCCTTTATTTTGGAGCTTGTGACTGTAACCATGTTTACATAAATACTGGGAGTAAGAGTCTGATTGGAATAACAACACTTCTGCTCTGATGGCACTCCAGATGGGTGGGTCGTGCTGGTTCTTGTTCGAATTCCAAAAGTCGAGTAGAAATTATCCTTTCTGCATTTCGCTGTTACGTCGTGCGTGCATCACGCTAGAAAAAAAACATCATTGCGGTATCTGTTTACATCATAAATCTCTTTGTCCTCCTGTAATGTCGTTCCCTTAAAGTCAGACAATTCTGGGCATCTCAGTTATATATTCCTTTTAAGCATAGCAGGCATGTAAGCACACATAATAATTGGGCAGGATCCAGATCCATAGTTATATCCTAGAATGTAAATAAGGCAAAATGGAGTATATAAATGGTACAATTTCGTGTAGAGGGAAACTATTTGAGCTTTAAAAAAAAAAAAAAAAAAGGTGCACCATCAGTTACTGTTTATTGGCATTTTAGTTGTTGTTTTTTTATCCTACCCATTTAGCACACAAATTGAATTGAATTTCTAATTATAAAGTCCTTTTTTCTTTAAAAGCTTTAAACGTTAGTTTTTTCGTCGTCAGGATTTCTATAATTCCAGTTTTACTTCAAAACTACGCTGTTTAAACGCTAAACAAGCAAATTAAAGCTCTTGACGCTGGGCGTAGTAGTTTAGCATTATTCCTGTGAGCACGAACGCCTACAGGTCCAGTGTATCTCTGAGGAAAGGCGTGTCGCTACGGCAACGTAAGAGATGGCATTAGGCTGTGTCCTGCAGGCTGTGGTGCTGATAATCATCACAGAGAACTGGCTTCCAGCTTTCATGCTGAAAGCAAGGAGAAGAAAGGAATGCCAATCTTGTCATTGTTGTTTGCAGGATGTTTTCGGTTTCAGGTTCTCCTTGTGAAACAAGGTGTTATTCTGTAAAGAAAAAGTGACCTCTGCCTATTTTTGATGCACTATCAACTGCTCCCTCGTATTTAAAAAAAAAAAGTGCTTGCGTGAAGCCTGTTTATGTTACAGGATTATTTATGTTTTGTTATGTTTGTTAAATTCCTGTCAGAATTGTTGTGCTGGATGAAAAGAAGAATGTCCTGAAACATGTGAAGGCATCATCATCAGACAATTGTAAGAGCCGGTTTCATTTCAATGGCTGAATGATTGAGTGATAGCCGCCTTTCTGAAACCCTCATGTTGGGGGTCAGAGGTCAGTTTGCGAGATAAAACGAACAGATTGCTTTAGCTGGATCTACACCTCGCTGCATTTTTCTGAGGTTATAATCCATCATCGTTTGCCTGTGCGAAGTCCTTCAGACACAATGCCACACATCTGTCTGCGCTGACCTGTGGACCACTGGCTCTGAGTGCATTGTCACTTCAGCAGAGATACTGACATGACCTGTGATCAAAGGCCAGCCTGCCGAAAGCCCATCAAACGCCCACTAATATGGCTGATAAAGAGACGGACTTTCTGCAGCATCCATTTATAGCTGGATGTTCCTCAGCCCCCGTGGAGGATGCCAGATGCTTCCTGGTGATACCTCACCCCTCCTGAATACCTTCATTTCCTACACTGTGACCAGTCTGTGCGCTGTCTTGTGTTTGTTGTGACTGCAGGGGGACATTTCTCAGGAACACCATGCAACCACAAAGCCACTTTTCAGCTAAGCATTGTCCTATTCAACTGACTGTGCCCCCAGGCTGGCCAAGCACTCCTGACTTCCCTCTCTGTCTCCCCCCCACCCTTCTTCCATCAGCTGAAAGGAGACATTTATCGGACAGGACGATAGTCAGCAGACCTGCACGTTGGCTTCTGTTGTCATTAACTGTAATGTGTTTCGATTAGTTGTGTTTTCCCGGTTGCCTTCGCTGGTCGTCAGCATAGCACAGGGCTGCCTTGCGCAGTCTTCAGAGTTTTGTTCTTTCTTTTAAATCATGTTCATTGTGGTGGATCACATTTGTGGGAATATACTCTCTGTGGGGTCCAGGTCCAGTCAGCAGATGGCAAGTATTTAGTCCTGGGGATGTTCAGTAAAGTCACTACAGATCTTCTTCGTGTTTCTTTTTGCTTGTTGCTTATTGTCTTTGTCTGAGGGGTGCTCAGCCATGCACAATAAACCCCGTTAGTGACCAGCAGACTTGTTTATTATTCTGTCGCCGGCTCCCCCCAGACGCCCATGTCGGCTGTTGTTGCACGTGTTGCTTTCTCTGCCTTTTACCCCATAAAAGTTAACTGGGGCAGATGTTTGAGGGAATGTTCTGAAACAAAGTTCACAGGCAGTGAATCGTTTTCGCCGAAAATTGATTCAAGGATGTACAAAGACATTAGACGTAATACGACTGTCCTAAATTTAATAGCTGAATCTGGAAAATGTAGCTAAGATCCAGCAAACGAGCCCCTGGCTAAACAACATGCAGGCCTGAGCTATTCATTCATGTATTTATTTTTATTCGGCGTTGTAGCACCTCCTTACCATTTGGCGTGTGCTCGTTGAGGCATTAAAATAAGTTCGCCGGCAGTCGTTCGGCATCTCCTTCAGTTGAGCCGCTGAGTAACAGGTATGCGGTTGTTGTTACAGCACTACCCCGAGTATCTGAAGGTCAGGCCGACGTATCGCTTTTCAAGCGCAGCCTGAAACTGGTGGCAGTGACAGGCATGCGAGGGACTCTGTGTGGAGAGTTACCTGACAAGGAAAAGCCGGCGTCAGCTCATGAAACTTCACCCTTTGTTGTTTGAACTGTCTCATAAGTAACAGTCGTGCTTATTTGACTATAGAAGAAAGATGTTTACGTTGTTTGTGAGACCAAATGTCCTGAGTGAAGCTCCTGGGCATCCTGGACTTGATGAGAGCAGGATTTGTGAGCGGCGCGTTGGCCTCTCTGAGGCAGGAAGCCGTGCTTATCCCGCTTTGGCAGAGCCAATCTAGCAGTGAGGACACGGCACTCAACTTGACCAACTGGCCAAAAAAAAGTGGATTGAGATGGTTTAATATTCTGAAAGGAGCTGAAAAAGCTGCTGTTTCCAACATATGGCTGATATTCTCAAGTTCAGAAGCCAGAAAAGAAAAACAGGAAAGTTGCTTCAGCTCACATTTATTTATGAATTTACCTATTATGACTTCTAACCTTTGCTTGGGTTTTTAGATTCCTGCATGGAAAGCTCCAGCAGTGTTGGATGGCAGAAAATCTGACTATAGTTTTATAATCTGTGGGTTTTTGATCTAAGAAGAGTACCTGTTC